CTAGTTTCTATTTCATTTATTGTCTCCTCCATCATATCCAACCTGCCTTTAATACCCTCCATCGTCCTCTTCAACGACTGGATCTCCGACCTGAATTCATTCCTGAGTTCTTGGATATCTTTCCTTACCTCCATTAGAATGTTGATGATTTTTATTTTGAACTCCCTTTCAGGAAGAGTCAATATCATTTAAACCTTTCTTGGGAGTTGTAGTAATAATTTTACTCTGCACAAAGTTCCTTTGACATTTCATGTTTGTATATGGCGCCCTCTAGTGTCCAAAATCTGTAGTCTCTGGAACTGCTCAGCCCCTGAAGCAATGTTGGGGATCCCAGGGGAGCAGTACTGGTGCCTGGCAGGAGGAAAGAGCTTTTCCCCGCCTCCCGGCTGCTGTGCCTGTCTCCACTGCCTGAGCCAGTGGGCCAAGCACACAGGTATAAGTTTTTGTCCCAGAGCAGCCAGATATGGATCCCTGCTTTTCCACAAGTGGCCAGAATCCCAGTTACCCCAGGAACTCTGCGTGTATTAACTTTCCAACCTGGTAGTCATGCAAGTCTCCTGAAAGCACCATAAAATGTAGGTTTGTGCTCCCAGAGCAGATCTCCAGAGCTAGGTATTCAGCATTCCCAAGCCTTCTACTCCCTCCCTGCTCTGTTTCTCTTCCTCCCGCCAGTCAGCTGGGGTGAGGGGAGGGCTTGGCTCCTGTGGAGCCACAGCTCTGCTACGTTACCCTGTTCCGTGAGGTCTGCTCTTTTCTCCAGGTGTGTGCAGTCTGATGCCATCCTCTTTCCTGTTGCTCTCTCAGGATTATTTGGGCCAACTATATTTTCTAATTGTATCCAGTTTTAGGAGGAAGCCTCTGACTTTCCTCTCACACCATCTTTAATCCCTCCCTCTTTACTTTTCCTAAGGTTCATTCTGTGTGTATATTTTAATGACCTCTAATGTTTAAAATGTGTTAATATTGCAATAAGAAGATAAAAGGTAATTGAACAATGAATACCATCCAAGAATTGCTTTAGATAAATAACAATGCACTTGAAAACTGCACAGACATGTAATTGATTGTGAATTACTTTGGGTCGTCAGACTTTACAACTCACCAGCTAGAGCAGACTACATACAATTAAAGAACAGATATGAACTATCTGACTTACTGACACAGCCTATTCATTTCTGCTGACTGTTCTTTTGATGAATTTATCAAAAAAATACTAAAGAAAAAAAATCATTAAACTACTCTGCCTCTTCTGGAAGATTGAAAAGTATCACATTAGCATAGCATTAAATTAAAAACAAAGCCAAACCAATACAACAAACCCCATGTTAACAAGGATATTAAAACTGCCACAGACCATTTAAGAAATTTAGCTAAAAGCCAAGAAAGCTAAATTTTTTCTCTAGTTCTAAACTGCTATTAATTTTTTTCAGTCTTTTTATTTATTTTTTTATTTAACTTTATATGGTACATGTACACAATGGAATACTATTCAGCCGTAAGAAACAAATCCTACCATTTGCAACAACATGGATGGAGCTAGAGGATATTCTGCTCAGTGAAATAAGCCAGGCAGAGAAAGACAAGTACCAAATGATTTCCCTCATCTGTGGAGTATAACGACATGGCAAAACTGAAAGAACAAAACAGCAGCAGACTCACAGACTCCAAGAAGGGACTAGTGGTTACCAAAAGGGAGGGTTTTGGGAGGATGGGTGGGGAGTGAGGGAGAAGGGGATTGAGAGATATTATGATTAGTACACATGGTGTTGGCAGGGTCATGGGGAAGACAGCGCAGCACCGAGAAGATAAGTAGTGACTCTGTGGCATCTTACTACACTGATGGACAGTTACTTCAATGGGGCATGGGGGGGACTAGGTAATATGGGTGAATGTAGTAACCCATTTTCATGTGAAACCTTCATAAGAGTGGATGTATCTTGACAACATTAAGCTAAGTGAAAGAAGCCAGTGACAGATGACCAGGTATTATTTTTTAAAATTCATTTGCATGAAATGGGTGGAAGAAACAGAAGGTAGATTAGCAGTTGCCAGAGGTTGGGAGCAGAAAGCAGGAATGAGGAATGACTGTTAATGTGTACAGGGTTTCTTTTTGAAGTGCTGAAAATGTTATAAAGTTAGATCATGGCAATGGCTGCACAACTCTGTAAAAACAGTAACACCCACTAAGCTGCAAATGGATGGATTTTATGGTATCTGAAATATATTTCAATAAAACTAAAAAGAAAAAACTAAATAAAATTGAAAATTTACTTCCTCACTGGAACATTCCCATCATCATGGAAGTTCTAATGGGCAGAACTGCTCCAAAACAATAAAAGGCAGAATAAAATAAGCAATCAGGAGAAACTGGCAATCAAGTTTGTAACTACCAGTGAAACAATGTCCATCAGCAATATCTAATGTAACCTGGATCTACAACAGAAATGGCAGAGAACAGGACACATTCAAATGCAGGAGCTAGGAGTCACCCTGATCCCCTACACACATGTGTAAGTGAAGCTGGACAGAGGAAAAAGAAACCAAAGAGAAACAAACCAATCCAAAATTCCTAGATTCTTTCCAAATCCTCCAAAGCTTGTGAGAGATCACAGTATCCTTCTTTGCCGCAGGGCACCAGCATGACAATTATCATCTGAGGCTGTGTGGCTTCCTCAAAAGAACGGAAGATGGGTCATTCATATTCAAGAGCCAGTAAAGGAACGGACACCGGACAGTTTACAGTAAGTACGTATGATTTGATACCATTTATTTTTACATTCAGGCAGAGACAATACAGCGCATTTTAAGGAAGCTCCATTTATGTAATATCATCTAAAAATAAATGTTTGTATGATCCACTCATGACTTATGATGCTTCTGTGGAATTTTAAAAGTTAAGACTCTTAGATCCTGCTAATTTCATATTTTGCATTATAAAATTTTATCCATCTGTTTTATACTGACATCAGGTGGCAATATCACTTTGCAGACTGCTTTTCTATACTCTCTTAAGCCTACAGGTATTTTAAGATACAGTATTGATATGTTTAAGTCTGAGCAGGCTGTGGCACGTGATGAATGCCTGAAGAGCCAACTCCAGTTCAGCTGCCTCCAAAGGCAAACTGCCTCTTAGGAGTTTTTGCTACTCAGGAGCCAACGTTGGGCAAGCTGGTGTGACTTTCTGTACTGCCTCACTGACCATACCCAGGAAATGGTGCTTACAGTAAGACCTGTGTCACAGAGGCAGTGTGAACATGTCAAGATATTAAATGTAAAATGAGTAAAACAGTGTCAGGCATGTAGTAAGGGCCCAGTAAATATTAGTTACCAATTCAGATTCCCTTACCACAATACAACTATCAAAAGAAAAGCTAACCACACCCTGCTCTCAACCTGTTTGAATCTGCTTTCCAAGTTGATAGCCATCTGGAAAAGTAAGAACCTCCAGGAAGAGGAAGTATGTTCAAGTTTGAAGGGCACTGAGAGAGGAAGGTGGGATTCAAGGTACCCTTTTCCTTACTCACAATTACCCTCATCCTAATACTATTTGGGATGTATGTGTATGAGTCAACCAGATAAACCACTTTGACTAAGGCACTGCATGTTCGATTCATCAGCTTTGTTTTCCAATATGCTAGACAGAGAAGAGTAAAAATAAGGATATCATGTCACCAGAATTTACAACTCATTATGTGTATGCTTTAATAACTTAAAAACCCTTTACAAGCACTTAAGTAAGTTTATAAGAAATAAGATTCAGGAAACACCTTTTAAAAAATCTACCAATAAGTCAAATACACAAATTAAACAATTTTTCAAAATTCAAACTGATAGAAACTCAAATTATATGAAATAAAGATTCCCAATTTAAAAATCTGCTATAGCTGAATATCTAGACTTCTAATCCTCCACCTGCTTCCCCCACCTTGGCCCCAAAATAACTTACATAGTTCTACACTTTGTTCTGATTCCATTTCACAAGGCTAATAGCCATTATCTGCGAACTATTTGTCAAATCCTTCAGCCTACTTTGAAAGGCCTTGCTCTTCGCTTTGAAAATGCATTCTGCTGCCATCTACAGTCTCAGAGCATACATACAGGCATATTCCATGCAGATTATGGAAGTATCGGGAATTAATATGGACATTAAATAGCTTCTACAGAGCTTCATTTGGTCTATTACAGACAGGTTGCAGACATTACCTTCTAAAAATGCTTTCCAGTTTCCCAGAGGTATTTCCAATAATGAAGCTAGATGTATGTCACCTATTTTTCTAGCTTTTTCTCCCAATTGGCTCCAGTCATACCTTGTCCAATGCTACTTGTCCAAACTTATTGCCTGCTCTTGAGATATGCTGAGTACAACAAAGACAAAACATTCCCAAATGGGAAGATAACTCTAACCAAGAAGGGAACTTGGGAAAATATGAATAGTTTTAACCTTTAAACCTTTAACCTTTGGCTCTAAAAAAATGTGGGAGACACTGGCCCAACAGAGGTGATTAGGGGGTTCTGGCCACCTTGTAGCTCTACATAAAGCCTTGAGTAACATAGTACAAGTAACAAGTTTTAGTGTCATCAGATAACTGAACCGTTTTCTGGAACTGCAACACTGCTTGCTGCAGTGTTCACTATCTGTTAGATACTAGAAAGTTTATCAGACAACTGAAATGTGAAAAGAGTAACTTCATGATTATTCGCTCCAGTTGTGCATCTGAATTCAGACTCTCGCTTTGATTCTCAGGTCTGACATAAAGTGACCTGAACAGAAGAGCAACAGGGAAGAGCAAGTCTTGTGTCTACCATAGAAAAAGTGACCAGTACAGATCATAAATATTTATATATAGCTTTTACAATACCATTAACCTAACTAGAAGTGATATAAAATCCATAGATTTACATTGGGGGAACTAGTAAACATCTTTAGATCTTTAAATGACTCAAAAGAACTTATATTCATGGTGTTAGGAGGCCAGTGAATTAAGAAGGAATATACTTACATCACTTGAAGAGACTGTTCCTGTTTCAACAGCAACACCGCTACCACGCAGTTTCTATTATGAAATAAATAACTTATTACTTAGTTTTGTTTTTAATTTTATTTTAGTTTATCAGCTTATGAAAGGGAGATAAGCAAAGTTTATAATTTTTTTCTAATCCTACTTAATGGAATATCATCAACTAATAAAAAGCATGGGGATGATATGAAATATTCTAAAGGGTATTACACTATTACAGATTATAACTTAATAAATTATTTAAAATTGAACAGTAAATTGAATACTGAGCTCCAGCTAAATTTTATAAGTGAAGCTATTGCAAATTTCCAAGTCTCAGGATCTACTTATTTGTTTTTCTGATAAGATGACTGTCTTAGCTGGTCTACATTACATTCTGTGGCAAAGCTTTCAAAACAGGTGCGTAATAATGGGGAAATACAACATGGAGCTTAAATTAGGATATCCACAGCAATGCTAACAAGTTAGAATCAAAATCAAAATCTCACATGCTATATAGAAATAACCAAAGAAATTCAAGGTAAAAAGTCAAAGGTTGAATTACAGGAGAAAAGCGGTAATGAATTTCTGCAAGGAAATTTTTATTTTTTTTTATTCAATAATCATTATCTACTGAGTGCCAGGCATGAGCCCCCATAACCACACACAATGCTACCCCCTAAAAAGTTACTATAGAGTCAAAGAATAAAATATCCAAACTTTCTACTAATTTGGACTTTTGAAAGTTTATTTCTATTAGAATCATGAATGTGATCCTTTTTATGAAGAAAACACTTGAGAGAGAGAAGAGATCTTTCAGATTAAATAACTATCACATGACATTTAAGCAAAGTAGCAAATAAAATCCCAAATTATCCTGTTTGATTCTTTAAACAAGTCTGTAATTTAATCCTGATAAAAGGCTATGGAAGATGCATCTGCCAACAGCAAGAGAGATGGTGCAACCCCGAGCCCAGCAGAAGCAGTGACCAGACACATGCGCCTGGGCACCATGAAGACACCCTGCTGCAGAACTTGCAAAGGAGGAATGCCACACCAAAACTGAACAAAGCCAAAGACTTGGTGAGAAAAGAATGCACTAGACAGTTACAGAAAGGGTCTGTAAGAATGGTTATCTAATACCAGTAAGCTCAACTCTAATGAAAACTGTTTTGGACACTGAAACATTTGCTTCCACTAGCGATGACAGAGATTTTCCCCAAGCGTTGCACATGGTTTCAACCAGAGCTCATCATTCCAAAAGCAATAAATCATCTGTGATGAGCAGTCTAAGATGAAACAACCCAAAATGTTAGTAGCAAACTATGATATACATTCTTTCCTACCAATTTTCATTTTTTGGATTCAGTTACAACAGAGCCTCATTACCACTAAACCATAAAGCTAACACTTAAAGCAGAAGGAAGAACTAATTTCAAAAAAGAAAAGAAGGGTGGTGGAGGGGCCTGGAGTTACTTGATTTAACTAAGCATTTTGATCCCAAATAATACGCACTTACAAATTTAAAATCTCATCTTCACCCACCTATTTTTCATGTTTAAAATACCTCGTTTTTGAAATAACCTCACAAACTCAGTAAAATCTGCACATTTGTGGATCTTGCAAAAATACCGTTAAAAACTAAGCCAAAAGGTGTTAAAATTTATGCTGTTGACCAAAGAATACTTGATTTTGTTCAAAACACTCCAAAACATCCCCATCAAACATTAAAGGCAATTAGGCTCCCCCCCCCCAAAAAAGGCAGGAAATCAGACAAAAAAATAAATTCAAGCAAAATGTCATGTCTCTCTTAAACCTCAAATTAAAATCAATTAAAATAATGTCACCCAAAATCTAAATTACAACTTTCAAAAAATATTTAAAATAGACATTTATGTGTAATCTAACACTAACAACACAGTAAATACCAGTATTACTTCTCCTGCTCCCAATTCCTCCATGTCTCCCATCCCCACACCAAAATCTCATTCTCTTCTACCTTTTCCTCCCCAGAATACTTCTCCCCAACCCATGTTCATTTCAGTCCTTTTTCTGAGGATCATTACACCAAGTGTCCCCTTACCACCTAATAGTCAATCACTGGAAGCCTAAAAGAAACGTTCCACGGAGCCATCATAAGTGTCCTGTCTTTCCCTGTTCTAGGAAACCACAAAGACAAAAACTGAGAACATGTCAATTTCCCCACCATGAAATTAGCAAGCTGTTTCCCTCTATGGAGTAGACCTAGAAAGAGACCTGAAAGCACCCAGACCACCAACAAGCAGGCCTCACGCTTAACCTTAGGCCTAAATGCTTCATCCCACAGTGATGCAGTGAAATCCTGTGGAGCTGCCACTGTGTGAGACAACTAACTACCTTGCAGCTGGACCCAGGAGCTCTGGGCTTACCCTGGGGCACCTACAAGCCTGCTATGGACAGTTGGCCAAGACTAGGCTAAGTAGATAAATTAATGATCTATAGTGTTTCTGTCGACAGTTTGAAACTCCCTGGTGACACCCAGAACTAGTCTGTCTACTGGTGTAACTGGTGACAGCTTGGCCTGGTTACATGACCAGAGGACATAAAAGATCCCACCAGAGACATTTGGAGAGCTCTCCCAAAACCAAGATTTCTCACACAGACCTTGGTGGTTCAGGGTCCTGAGGCAGACGTGGGAGCCATGCCTGTGAGTCTCTCAGCCCGAAGCCTGCCTGCACTCTCTCTCCTGCAGCACTGTTTCTTCTCCTTTCTTATAAGCCTTACATGGTCAGCCTTATGTTATGCTCTTTGGAACTGTGTGAGTGCGTTCAGTTCTCCAGCTGTGCGCTCTCGGCAGCCAGCTAGAAGGCAGACAGTCCCGGCCCACTGGAAAGAATGAATGGAAAGTCCCAAATGACGGAAAAAACAGAAGTTTGAGTCAAGCCAAAGAAAGAAAAAGTAGTAGTCTGGCTTACTTATTAAGTTCAAAATGGCATTATTTTATCATAACTTGTTGTACAATGAATTTCACATAATCACTATAAATAGTGTCAGAATGTTATATTCTTTTCAAAGATACTAAAGGAAATGTTTCTTACCTGTGAACTCAGCTGAGTTTTTATCCAGTTGAAATAGTAATTTAAGTCACTACCTTCCATCAATTCTTTTCCCCAAGCTGCTAACTTGGCAATAATTCTTGCTGCCTGAAAAATAAGAAATACTTTTGATTGCTATATTGATTCTAAAAATCAGTTCGTATACCTTAAAAACAAGGTCTATTTTTGCTGCATGATTTAAAATTTAAATTCTGTTGATTTTGCTGCATGATTTTCTTAATAGTTAACTCTTCCAAAAATAGCGGCTTAGTTTTCATTTTTAAAAATATACTTTGAAACATAGTCAAAATGTATTTTTAAATATATCCATTAAACCAAACCAAAATTAGTTGTAGTTTAGGAATTTCATGATATCCACTGTATTATTCTGAGTTTCAAAAGTAAAATTCATTGTAAAACAGCCAAAATCAAAAGAATAGAAAAATCTGTTTGGGTTTTTTTGGGGGAGGGAAGGCACTGAATGGTACTTTTAATGAATTTGTGAATGTTAACATTGAAAAATCTTCCTTAGAGGCAGATGTTCACCAAATCACTTGGCAGAGTTCTGAACAATCCCTATGGCAAACTGCCTGTCACTGTCTCATTCATTCTAAGCCCCTTGTGAGTTCTCACACTTAAAAATCTTTATTTGCTATAAAATATATCCTGCATATTAAATAATCATCTCTCTTGATATAAACAAATACCCTTTTCTAATTCAATGATTTCTCAAGTTTGTTAGACTACAAAACTCATCATAATTTTTAATTAGATAGGCAGTATAAACAGATGTATATCAAATCATGTACTTTAAATATCTTAGTTTTATGTCTATTATACCTCAAATCTAGAAAAAATACATATATACACACACAAAAAAAAATAGGCAGTATAAAATACTATGTCTCCACTATGTCCCAATCTAATATTAGTACTTTTTGAAAGTCACTCTATCCAAACTCCAATTATTCAGCAATACTCAATCCTAGTAGAGAACAGATGGTTGAAGTTAGATAACCCACAATAATTTCTCTGCTGATAGACTGACGTTTGTTCATATGCTTAGATACAGCTGAGCCTGGCGACAGAGACATGCTTTTAAGGTCAGTCCAACAGGCATTCCAATGTCCTGGCATATTGGAAATTCTACACCATGGAAGGCTAACATCAGCGCCTTGACTCATTCACTGAGTTGCAACAAATGGAAGTTTTCTTGTGCTTAGCTAAGGGAATTTATACATATATTATCTAGTTTAAACTGATCTAACTTTCACAAAGTAGATCAGGATTCCTGTAAGGAAACTGGAATTGAAAATTATAGCCACAGAAATACAAGCAAAATGGAAATGACAAAGGAAAAAGAGACTTCATGTGTCTACTCCTAGCAGAGGCTCTTCATCAGCACATGGCAAACCAATGACAGACTGACCCACAAAATGTAAAAGATTAGCCAAAAATAATCGAAGTCATAAAGAAAACATGGATTTGGCTGCATAATTAGTAATGATGAACCTTACCCTAACTGTATATTTGGTCTTTAATAATTTGGTCTTTAATAGATTTTACTATAAGACTATCAAAAGAGAAAAAAACATGTATCCAGACAGTAAAAACAAGCCTCTACAATTTGAAAGAAAAAAATACATTACTGGTTTTTTAAAAAGTGTTCCTCAGAAGATTTAATTATATGGGTAACTACTGAACCACTGTGTTGTATATTTCAAACCAACATAAGGTTGTGTATCAACAATACTTCTATAAAAAGAAATTCCTTATAGTCTATTTCATGAGTCCTCCTTTTTATAAATGTTTTGTAAGATATACAATACATGAATACACTAGTACATAAATGGATAGAGACATATATGGAGAGAGGAAGAACACACATAATCAGAAATGTTTCACTAACAGTAGTTCTTGATTTGAAAAATGTAAAGACTCTACTGAAATGAGCAGCTTCAGGAGCACCCCACTGCAGCTCACTCCACACTGGGAATATAAAAGGCTGCACAAATATTTATTCCCTCAACCCTCCTTTCATACATTCTCCATAAAAGATTTTGCAGTGTTAATTAAGGCTTCCAAAGATAGCCTTTAAGTCAAGTTTAAAATAACAGTTTAAGATATTAAAAAGCAATAATAATTACTTAACTAAAGTAAAAATTAAACATAGTGGTTGCTTCAAAGTAAAATTTAATTCTATAGTAAAATGCAGTTAATCCTGTCCCAGACCATCTAAAGCTATTTGCTTATTTTACTAAAGGCTTTTAAGTTAAAGAACTAATGGGACATACCACACAACTTTAACTATCTCAGAGCAATCCTATCTCCTCTGCCTTTCCCATATCCCCACATTAATAACCACCAATAGGGAAACACCTCTTTGAAAAGTCAACAGCACAGCAGTTACTCTTCTGGGAACCTGGAGGTTGCCAAATCCTAAAGGGGCCAGATGCGTTTCTTCCCTAAATCAGAAATTTGATCAATTCAAAATTTACCATATGTACAGTAAAGAAATCCTGGCGATTCAACATTGGCAGAAAGTAGGACCAGGCACTGTTCTTGCTACGTTTAGCATAGTCAAAGAAAATGCTCACACGCTGGTGATTTTCCTAAAAAAGAAAAGAAATCATATCACTAATCAGAATGCATTTTCCCAAAGAATGTACAATTGTGTTCTGCTTCTCAACCTTTCACTTTCAGTTCATTCATCAGTGTGTTTCCTTTTACCTGTGTGTATAAGATCTGTCTCCCAATTATGATTATGGGGCAAGGGGTGGCAAAGGGAGCAGAATAGATACTTTTTTAAATAAAATCACCTTTAATCACTATTATTTTAAATCAGGTGAGCCAGGATAACACAATCCAGCCCTACAAGGTATAGACAGTTACACTGCACCTCTGAATTGCCTGCCCTTCCTGACACTGCCTAACCTCCTCTAACTTGCTTCCACACAAACAAAATCGGAAGGGGGCTGTAAGACCACAGATTAGCTCAAGATGGAAGCATGAGCAGGAAGCACCTCAACCTACTTCCAAGAAGGCAAGGGAAAACAGGGAATTAAAAAAATATCAAATGTTCAAGGTTATTCCTAACATATGATTATAGAAAAATCAGGGCAAAGACAGAAAAAAAAAAAAAAGCATATCACACCAGCAAGTGGATACACTATTTGAAAAATAATTCTTAGTTGAAATCATATAAACTCTACCTCTCACCTAAAATTTCTCTGCATATCACTCACTGAAATCCACTCTCTGGTTCACTAAGTGTAAACAGCAATATTTGGCAAAAGCACAACATAAAGAATAATTTTTCATATCAACATTTAATACTTTTTAAATACACTGGTTTTAATTTTGGCCTGTGCTAAAAGATACTGTTTGAGGAACAAATTACCATCTCCTTAAGTAATGAATCATGACAGTTTAAAATAACAATTTAAATTGTTATGATAGTGACTTTATCAAAAGATTCAAAATCATTAATTCCACTGGTGGATTATTTCCAAAGCTAAAATTGTAATCCTCATTGTACACTTAAATGAACAAAGTACCCTACGGACAGAAAGAGGAGAAACTATTGTATGTATTTTAAGACCCATCTTTCCTAACTACTCCTTTGTGGTTTCAATTCCTGCTTTAAAATTATACCTCCAAGCTATCATTATTGCTTTAGGCATGCAAATTACAACTTTAAGAGAACATGCCTTTTTCTCAGAGGTAACTAGCAATGTCTCTTGATATCCAAGTACAAAAAATATTTTAATCTTCAAAATGATGTATTAAAAACTAACACATGAGGGAAAATAAGCAATTCAGTCCAAAAGTACTCTACTCAGAAGTGTTAAAAATGAAATTACTGGATTAATAACAGGAAAAAAAATGTAACTGTAATATTTTTTTAATAGTACATGCAATCAAATGATAGAGGTGTGTGTAAATTTCTCAGTGTACCTAAAATTTTACCAATAAAACAGATTGTTAAAACACATTCAATCAGTAGCTGAGGACAATGTCTACTACCAGAGTCTAAATCCCTCCACACATCCTTCATAAACACAGGTTAAGAAGCACAATTAAAACTATGTATCTGGAGGGATCACGGGAAGATGATGGCATGAGTAGTTCAGAGGAAATCTTCTCCCCAAAACATATATATTTATGAAAATACAATAAATACAACTATTCCTAAGACACCAGTGGATGCACTACAACAGCCAGGATACTTCTACATCTGTGAGAACTCAACATCACACGAAGGGGGTAAGATACAAGCCGCGGGCAGGCAGGACCCAAACGCTCCCACCCCAAAACCTGGCAGGAAGAAAGGAGTCAGAATGGGGAGGGAGTGAAAGCCCAGGACTGCTAAACAACCAGCTCTAGAAATCCACACCCGGAACGCAGACACAAGGTGCATGGGGTGCTGGATATTAGAGAAACGGAAAAGCAAAACCTGTGGTCAGGTCCCCGCAACCGGCGCCCCTGAGACAAAAGAAAAGCAAGTGCTTTCTGCAAGTCTTAAAGAGACAGGGACCCCACAGCTGGATGAAGTTGTCCCGGCAGCTGGAAATACCGGGGAAACTTAGGCGCCCTAAACCCCAGGGAAGGCAGTGAAGCCTCTCACGGCTCTAAGCAGCCTGCCAGTCATTCCTCCAACTAGCGCGGACCCTGAAACACCGGCCCTGTAGCAGAAGAGTGGCAGCGCGCGCCGGGAACAGCAGCAATGGAAGGGACTGAGAGCAGATCTGTGTGCCACAGGAGAGGGTTGTGATAGCCCGCAGTGGTGCAACTGAATAGCCTGGGCGCGGCTCGTGCACACTGGTGGCAGTGAAGCCAGAGGAGCCCAGTAGAAGCCTGCGCAGAAGACCCCCGCGCACACCTACAGCGGAGCCAGAGGGAGCAGGCGCGCTCCCAGCAGCCGACCGGAAACCCAGCCCAAGGTACAGCCACCCGGGAGAGATCCAAAGGCCGCTGTTGCCACACAGCTGCCCGGCAGGGTCACCACTAGCATGGAGGAGCACACCTGGTGTGCCTGCCACTCCCCGCAGGGCCCCACGCTGCTCTATCGGACACCCCGCCCACAGTAGTTTAGGGGACTAACCCGGTGGCTGCTCCAGGAGTGCGGGTAACCATCACAGGCAGCGGAGAAGGGCAAGGCATCCAGCAATCAAGAAAGGACTTTCTTCTCCCAGCTGACACACCCGCAACCTGCCCACAGCCACTGCTATCACCATGAAAAGGCAAAAAAATATGGTCCAGTCCAAGACAGTTGCACCTGAGAAAGGATCTGCAGAGGCAGACCTAACAAGTCTCCCTGAAAAAGAATTCAAAATAAACATCATAAACATGCTGACAGAGCTGCAGAGAAATATGCAAGAGCTAAGGGATGAAGTCCGGTGGGAGATTACAGACGTCCGGAGGGAGATCACAGATGTCTGGAGGAAGATTACAGAAGTGAAACAAACTCTGGATGTATTTATAAGCAAAATAGATAAGATGCAAGAGGCCATTGATGGAATAGAAACCAGAGAACAGGAATGCATAGAAGCTCATGCAGAGAGATATAAAAGGATCTCCAAGAATGAAACAATATTAAGAGAACTGTGTGACCAATCCAAAAGGAACTAGGGGTATCAGAGGAAGAAGAGAGAGAAAAAGGGATAGAAAATGTCTTTGAAGAAATAATTGCTGAGAACTTCCCCAAACTGGGGGAGGAAATAGTTGCTTAGACTAAGGAGGCACGCAGAACTCCTGAGAGACAGGATTCAAAGAGGTCAACAGCAAGATACATAATCATTAAAATGGCAAAGATCAAGGACAGGGACAGAGTATTAAAGGCAGCCAGCGAGAGTAAAAAGGTCACCTACAAAGGAAAACCCATCAGGCGATCATCAGACTTCTCAACAGAAACCTTACAGGCCAGAAGAGAATGGCATGGTATATTTCATGCAATGAAACAGAAGGGCTTTGAACCAAGGATACTGTATTCAGCGCGATTATCATTTAAATATGAAGGAGGGATTAAACAATTCCCAGACAAGCAAAAGTTGAGGGAATTTTCCTCCCACAAACCACCTCTACAGGGTATCTTAGAGGGACTGCTCTAGATCAAAGCACTCCTAAAAAGAGCAAAGAACAAAACACCCAACATATGAAGAATGGAGGAGGAGAAAAAGAAGGGAAAGAAACAATCATCAGACTGTGCTTATAACAGCTCGATAAGCGAGTGAGGTCAGACACTAAGGTAGTAAACAAGCTAACCTTGAACCTTTGGTAACCACAAATCTAAAGCCTGCAAAGGCAATAAGTACATATATTTCAATAGACACCCTAAATGTAAATGGACTGAATGCACCAATCAAAAGACACAGAGTAATAGAATGGATAAAAAAGCAAGATTCATCTATATGCTGCTTACAAGAGACTCACCTCAAACCCAAAGACATGCACAGATTAAGTCAAGGGATGGAGAAAGATATTTCATGCAAACAACAAAGAGAAAAAAGCAGGTGTTGCAATACTAGGATCAGACAAAATAGACTTCAAAATAAACAAAGTAACAAGAGATAAAGAAGGACATTACATAATGATAAAGGGCTCAGTCCAACAAGAGGATATAACCATTATAAACATATATGCACCCAATACAGGAGCACCAATATATGTGAAACAAATACTAACAGAATTAAAGGAGGAAATAGAATGCAATGCATTCATTTTGGGAGATTTTAACACACCACTCACTCCAAAGGACAGATCCACCAGACAGAAAATAAGTAAGAACACAGAGGCCCTGAACAACATGCTAGAACAGATGGACCTAATAGACATCTATAGAACTCTACATCCAAAAGCAACAACATGGAACATTCTCCAGAATAGACCACATACTAGGCCACAAAAAGAACCTCAGTAAATTTCAAAAGATTAAATCCTACCAGCCAACTTTTCAGACCACAAAGGTATAAAACTAGAAATAAATTGTACAAAGAAAGCAAAAAGGCTCACAAACGCATGGAGGCTTAATAACATGCTCCTAAATAATCATTGGATCAATGACCAAATCAAAATACAGATCAAGAAATAATTGGAAAGAAATGACAACAACAACACAAAGCCCCAACTTCTGTGGGAAGCAGCAAAAGCAGTCTTAAGAGAAAGTATATAGCAATCCAGTCATATTTAAAGAAGGAAGAAAAATCCCAAATGAATAGTCTAATGTCACAATTATCGAAATTGGAAAAAGAAGAACAAATGAGGCCTAAGGTCAACAGA